AGGGTATGTGAGTGACTGTAACTTAGGGTATGTGAGTGACTGTAACTTAGGGTATGAGTAACTGTAACTTAGGGTGTCTGAGTGACTGTAACTTAGGGTATCTGAGTGACTGTAACTTAGGGTATCTGATTTACTGAAAATTTTGGGGATCTGAGTGACTGTTACTTAGGGTATCTGAGTGACTGTAACTTAGGGTATCTGAGTAACTGTAACTTAGGGTATCTGAGTAACTGTAACTTAGGGTATCTGAGTAACTGTAACTTAGGGTATCTGAGTGACTGTAACTTAGGGTATCTGAGTGACTGTAACTTAGGTATCTGAGTGACCCGTAAAATTAGGGTATCTGAGTAACTGTAACTTAGGGTATCTGAGTGACTGTAACTTAGGGTATCTGAGTGACTGTAACTTAGGGTATCTGAGTGACTGTAACTTAGGGTATGTGAGTGACTGTAACTTAGGGTATGTGAGTGACTGTAACTTAGGGTATCTGAGTGACTGTAACTTAGGGTATCTGAGTGACTGTAACTTAGGGTATCTGAGTGACTGTAACTTAGGGTATCTGAGTGACTGTAAACTTTTGGGTATCTGAGTGACTGTAACTTAGGGGATCTGAGTGACTGTAATTAGGGTATGTGAGTGACTGTAACTTAGGGTATCTGAGTTGACTGTAACTTAGGTATCTGAGTGACTGTAACTTAGGGTATGTGATGACTGTAACTTTGGGATCTGAGTGACTGTAACTTAGGGTATCTGAGTGACTGTAACTTAGGGTATGTGAGTGACTGTAACTTAGGGTATCTGAGTGACTGTAACTTAGGGTATGTGAGTGACTGTAACTTAAGGTATGTGAGTGACTGTAACTTTAGGGTATCTGAGTGACTGTAACTTAGGGTATGTGAGTGACTGTAACTTAGGGTATGTGAGTGACTGTAACTTGGTATGTGAGTGACTGTAACTTAGGGTATCTGAGTGACTGTAACTAGGGTATGTGAGTAACTGTAACTTAGGGTATGTGAGTGACTGTAACTTTGGTATCTGAGTGACTGTAACCTAGGGTAAAGAGTAACTGTAACTTAGGGTATCTGAGTGACTGAACTAGGGTATCTGGGACTGTAACTTAGGGTATGTGGGGTGGACTGTAACTTAGGGTATTGAAATGACTGTAACTTAGGGTATGTGAGTGACTGTAACTTAGGGTATTTGGGGTAACTGTAACTAGGGGATCTGAGTGACTGTAACTTAGGGTAATCTGAGTAACTGTAACTTAGGGTATCTGAGTAACTGTAAACTTAGGGTATCTGAGTCACTGTAAACTTTAGGTATCTGAGTGACTGTAACTTTGGTATCTGAGTGACTGTAAGTTAGGGTATATAAGTAACTGTAACTTAGGGTATCTGAGTGACTGTAACTTAGGGTATCTGAGTAACTGTAACTAGGGTATCTGAGTAACTGTAACTTAGGGTATCAAAAACGTAACTTAGGGTACTGAGTGACTGAACTTAGGGTACTGGTGACTGTAGTTGGGTATATAAGTACTGTAACTTAGGGTATCTGAGTGACTGTAATTAGGGTATCTGAGTAACTTAACTTAGGTACTGAGTAAAAGTAATTAGGGTATCTAAGTAACTGTAACTTAGGGGATTCTGGTGACTGTAACTTAGGGTATCTGAGTGACTGTAATTAGGGATATAAGTAACTGTAACTTAGCGTATGTTTAGTAACTGTAACTTAGGGTATATAAGTAACTGTAAATTAGGTTTTCTGAGTTAAATGTAAGTTAGGGTATATAAGTAAGTGTAACTTAGGGTATCTAAGTAACTGTAACTTAGGGTATATAAGTAACTGTAACTTAGGGTATCTAAGTAACTGTAACTTAGGGTATATAAGTAACTGTAACTTAGGGTATCTGAGTAACTGTAACTTAGGGTATATAAGTAACTGTAACTTAGGGTATCTGAGTGACTGTAACTTAGGGTATGTAGTGACTGTAACATAGGTATCTGAGTGACTGTAACTTAGGGTATCTGAGTGACTGTAACTTAGGGTATGTGAGTGACTGTAACTTAGGGTGTGTGAGTGACTGTAACTTAGGGTATCTGAGTGACTGTAACTTAGGGTATCTGAGTGACTGTAACTTAGGGTATGTGAGTTTACTGTAAATTAGGGAGTGACTGAACTTTGGGTATTTAGTGACTGTAACTTGGGTATCTGAGTGACTGTAACTTAGGGTATCTGAGTGACTGTAACTTAGGGTATGTGATGACTGTAACTTAGGGATTGAGTGACTGTAAATTAGGTATGTGAGTGACTGTAACTTAGGGGATCCCGAGTGACTGTAACTTAGGGTATGTGAGTGACTGTAACTTAGGGTAAATTTAGTGACTGTAATTAGGGTATGTGATAACTGTAACTTGGTATGTGAGACTGTATTAGGGTATGTAGTGACTGAAAATTAGGTATGAGTAAATGTAACTTAGGGTTTTCTGAGTGACTGTAACTTAGGGTATCTGAGTGACTGTAACTTAGGGTATCTGAGTGACTGTAACTTAGGGTATTGAGTGACTGTACTTAGGGTATCTGAGTGACTGTAACTTAGGGTACTGAGTAACTGTAACTTAGGGTATCTGAGTAACTGTAAACTTTGGGTATCTGAGTAACTGTAACTTAGGGTATCTGAGTGACTGTAACTTAGGGTATCTGAGTGACTGTAACTTAGGGTATCTGAGTGACTGTAACTTAGGGTATCTGAGTAACTGTAACTTAGGGTATCTGAGTGACTGTAACTTAGGGTATCTGAGTGACTGTAACTTAGGGTATCTGAGTGACTGTAACTTAGGGTATCTGAGTGACTGTAACTTAGGGTATCTGAGTGACTGTAAGTTAGGGTATATAAGTAACTGTAACTTAGGGTATCTGAGTGACTGTAACTTAGGGTATCTGAGTAACTGTAACTTAGGGTATCTGAGTAACTGTAACTTAGGGTATCTAAGTAACTGTAACTTAGGGTATCTGAGTGACTGTAACTTAGGGTATCTGAGTGACTGTAAGTTAGGGTATATAAGTAACTGTAACTTAGCGTATGTGAGTAACTGTAAATTAGGGTATATAAGTAACTGTAACTTAGGGTATCTGAGTGACTGTAAGTTAGGGTATATAAGTAAGTGTAACTTAGGGTATCTAAGTAACTGTAACTTAGGGTATATAAGTAACTGTAACTTAGGGTATCTAAGTAACTGTAACTTAGGGTATATAAGTAACTGTAACTTAGGGTATCTGAGTAACTGTAACTTAGGGTATATAAGTAACTGTAACTTAGGGTATATAAGTAACTGTAACTTAGGGTATCTGAGTAACTGTAACTTAGGGTATATAAGTAACTGTAACTTAGGGTATCTAAGTAACTGTAACTTAGGGTATATAAGTAACTGTAACTTAGGGTATCTAAGTAACTGTAACTTAGGGTATATAAGTAACTGTAACTTAGGGTATCTAAGTAACTGTAACTTAGGGTATATAAGTAACTGTAACTTAGGGTATATAAGTAACTGTAACTTAGGGTATCTGAGTAACTGTAACTTAGGGTATATAAGTAACTGTAACTTAGGGTATATAAGTAACTGTAACTTAGGGTATATAAGTAACTGTAACTTAGGGTATCTAAGTAACTGTAACTTAGGGTATCTGAGTAACTGTAACTTAGGGATATAAGTAACTGTAACTTAGGGTATATAAGTAACTGTAACTTAGGGTATATAAGTAACTGTAACTTAGGGTATATAAGTAACTGTAACTTAGGGTATCTAAGTAACTGTAACTTAGGGTATCTAAGTAACTGTAACTTAGGGTATCTAAGTAACTGTAACTTAGGGTATATAAGTAACTGTAACTTAGGGTATATAAGTAACTGTAACTTAGGGTATATAAGTAACTGTAACTTAGGGTATCTGAGTAACTGTAACTTAGGGTATCTAAGTAACTGTAACTTAGGGTATCTGAGTAACTGTAACTTAGGGTATCTAAGTAACTGTAACTTAGGGTATCTGAGTAACTGTAACTTAGGGTATATAAGTAACTGTAACTTAGGGTATATAAGTAACTGTAACTTAGGGTATATAAGTAACTGTAACTTAGGGTATATAAGTAACTGTAACTTAGGGTATCTGAGTAACTGTAACTTAGGGTATCTGAGTAACTGTAACTTAGGGTATCTGAGTAACTGTAACTTAGGGTATATAAGTAACTGTAACTTAGGGATATATAAGTAACTGTAACTTAGGGTATATAAGTAACTGTAACTTAGGGTATATAAGTAACTGTAACTTAGGGTATATAAGTAACTGTAACTTAGGGTATATAAGTAACTGTAACTTAGGGTATATAAGTAACTGTAACTTAGGGTATCTAAGAATGCTTTCATTTCATTTTTCTGAGAGTGACGAGAAATATCTATAATTTCTGATATATCTTTATATTTTTTCAAAGATATAATAATCTGACAGACAGAAGACGTTTATAAAAAAATTAAGGCACTTTTCTTAAATTTATTTGGCAGAAAGGGTAAAAAAACCAGTTTTAATCCGATAATTGTTCTTACAGCACTGCAGAAGCTGCCATAAAACCTGGGCTCACTTGTGAGCGAAACGTCGTGGAAATAACAGCTTCGTTATATGTGCCTTCAACCAAACCACCGCAATTATGTTACTTTCACACATTAACAAGGTTTTTTGTTTCGTCTTGGCGTTTCAGGCATTTTAAAACTTAATTATACAACGTTAACTCACTAAAAACGTCCATTACATTAAACTTATGTTTTATAGTCATCTGTAGTATAAGTTATCTAAGTTACTACACATAAAAGTCAAGTTTACCTTTGCGAAGTTATTAACCAAAATAATTATAAATTTAGTCGTGGAACATTTCCTATTGGAAGTATTGTGTTTAATATTAGACAGAGGAGACTAGAGGGCTAGAGGGCTAGAGGGCTAGAGGGCTAGTCCTACCTGGCGTCCAAGAACCGTGATCGGAGAATCATGACTGCCTCACACGTCGACTGTTTAAGTTGCATCTGTATGGAGGAGAATTTCTTATGGATGATCTGCACCATACGTTCTATTTCCTTCGGTGTTATAGGTCGCGTGCGGGACTGTTCCCGCAGCAGGTTCATCACGTGGGTCGTGAACTCATTACAAGCCTGCAACACAAGAGTATCAACATTAGTGTGTGTCAGTGTTCAGTCTAGCTTACTGTAAGGCTGGGTCATCACGTGGGTCGTGAACTCATAACAAGCCTGCAACACAAGAGTATCAACATTAGTGTGTGTCAGTGTTCAGTCTAGCTTACTGTAAGGCTGGGTCATCACGTGGGTCGTGAACTCATAACAAGCCTGCAACACAAGAGTATCAACATTAGTGTGTGTCAGTGTTCAGTCTAGCTTACTGTAAGGCTGGGTCATCACGTGGGTCGTCAACTCATTAGAAGTTCGCAGTCCAAGACAATCAATGTGAGCAATTAATAAGGGTCTAACAGAGCGAAACGTTGCCCAATGAAAGTTTGTTATATAGTCCTGCATTTTGGCTACCATCAGTAGCAGCAGCAACAGTAGCAGCAGTAACAGTAGCAGCAGCAACAGTAGCAGCAGTAACAGTAGCAACAGTAACAGTAGCAGCAGTAACAGTAGCAGCAGCAACAGTAGCAGCAGTAACAGTAGCAGCAGCAGCAGTAGCAGCAGCAGCAGTAGCAGCAGCAACAGTAGCAGCAGTAACAGTAGCAGCAGCAACAGTAGCAGCAGCAGCTGCTACTGCTGCTACTAAGTCTATATGGAAAGAGTGTCTGTTAGAATTGTGGCAACATTTAACATAAAATATAACACACAACACAGGAATAAGAAAGAAAAATAAGACAACCGAAAGTGTGAAGAATATACAGAAGCCAAGACGATAGGAGGGACAATGTATAGAAGTCAAGGTGAGTGTGTGTAATGTATAGTCAAGGTGAGTGTGTGTAATGTATAGTCAAGGTGAGTGTGTGTAATGTATAGTCAAGGTGAGTGTGTATAATGTATAGTCAAGGTGAGTGTGTATAATGTATAGTCAAGGTGAGTGTGTAAATGTATAGTCAAGGTGAGAGTGTGTGTAATGTATAGTCAAGGTGAGTGTGTGTAATGTATAGTCAAGGTGAGTGTGATAATGTATAGTCAAGGTGAGTGTGTGTAATGTATAGTCAAGGTGAGATGTGTATAATGTATAGTCAAGGTGAGTGTGTGTAATGTATAGTCAAGGTGAGTGTGTGTAATGTATAGTCAAGGTGAGTGTGTATAATGTATAGTCAAGGTGAGTGTGTATAATGTATAGTCAAGGTGAGTGTGTATAATGTATAGTCAAGGTGAGAGTGTGTGTAATGTATAGTCAAGGTGAGTGTGTGTAATGTATAGTCAAGGTGAGTGTGTATAATGTATAGTCAAGGTGAGTGTGTGTAATGTATAGTCAAGGTGAGTGTGTATATGTATAGTCAAGGTGAGTGTGTATAATGTATAGTCAAGGTGAGTGTGTATAATGTATAGTCAAGGTGAGTGTGTATAATGTATAGTCAAGGTGAGAGTGTGTGTAATGTATAGTCAAGGTGAGTGTGTGTAATGTATAGTCAAGGTGAGTGTGTATAAGTTAGTCAAGGTGAGTGTGTGTAATGTATAGTCAAGGTGAGTGTGTGTAATGTATAGTCAAGGTGAGTGTGTGTAATGTATAGTCAAGGTGAGTGTGTGTAATGTATAGTCAAGGTGAGTGTGTGTAATGTATAGTCAAGGTGAGTGTGTATAATGTATAGTCAAGGTGAGTGTGTGTAATGTATAGTCAAGGTGAGTGTGTGTAATGTATAGTCAAGGTGAGTGTGTATAATGTATAGTCAAGGTGAGTGTGTGTAATGTAAGTTCAAGGTGAGTGTGTGTAATGTATAGTCAAGGTGAGTGTGTATAATGTATAGTCAAGGTGAGTGTGTGTAATGTATAGTCAAGGTGAGTGTGTGTAATGTATAGTCAAGGTGAGTGTGTATAATGTATAGTCCAAGGTGAGTGTGTGTAATGTATAGTCAAGGTGAGTGTGTGTAATGTATAGTCAAGGTGAGTGTGTATAATGTATAGTCAAGGTGAGTGTGTGTAATGTATAGAGGTCAAGAGGAAGAGGTCACACACCCTCACCACCATGAGACGGGTGGTCACTTACACCCTCACCACCATGAGACGGGTGCTCACTTACACCCTCACCACCATGAGACGGGTGCTCACTTACACCCTCACCACCATGAGACGGGTGCTCACTTACACCCTCACCACCATGAGACGGGTGGTCACTTACACCCTCACCACCATGAGACGGGTGGTCACTTACACCCTCACCACCATGAGACGGGTGCTCACTTACACCCTCACCACCATGAGATGGGTGCTCACTTACACCCTCACCACCATGAGACGGGTGGTCACTTACACCCTCACCACCATGAGACGGGTGGTCACTTACACCCTCACCACCATGAGACGGGTGGTCACTTACACCCTCACCACCATGAGACGGGTGGTCACTTACACCCTCACCACCATGAGACGAGTGCTCACTTACACCCTCACCACCATGAGACGGGTGGTCACACCCTCACCACCATGAGACGGGTGTTCACACCCTCACCACCATGAGACGGGTGGTCACACCCTCACCACCATGAGACGGGTGCTCACTTACACCCTCACCACCATGAGACGGGTGCTCACACCCTCACCACCATGAGACGGGTGGTCACACCCTCACCACCATGAGACGGGTGGTCACACCCCTACCACCATGAGACGGGTGTTCACACCCTCACCACCATGAGACGGGTGTCACACCCTCACCACCATGAGACGGGTGCTCACTTACACCCTCACCACCATGAGACGGGTGCTCACACCCTCACCACCATGAGACGGGTGGTCACACCCTCACCACCATGAGACGGGTGGTCACACCCTCACCACCATGAGACGGGTGGTCACACCCTCACCACCATGAGACGGGTGGTCACACCCTCACCACCATGAGACGGGTGCTCACACCCTCACCACCATGAGACGGGTGTCACACCCTCACCACCATGAGACGGGTGCTCACACCCTCACCACCATGAGACGGGTGGTCACACCCTCACCACCATGAGACGGGTGCTCACTTCTATGCACTGACAGATAAAGTTATGTAACTTACCGTGACATAGGTATATATTTCGCAGCTATCCCAGCCTTTCTGAATTAAGACAGCATTAATCCTGTCAAAGTTACCTTGCGGTCAGTCTAAATTTAGTGATGTTTCTTAGCAACAGTTCACCAGTCCTGACCAGTGAGACTCACACTTTTTTTTTGTATATACTTATTGTGAGATATACTATACACCACGTATATGGTATATATTAACAGTGATTTCTCACATTATCAAGGGATAGTAGTATACCTGGAGACGGTTTCGGGGGTCAACGCCCCCGCGGCTCGGTCTGAGACCAGACCAATAGCAAGAAGGTGGTGAATTAGACACATGTGAAACACCAGGGTATCTTGTAGATGTTTTGCCCTCCATTGGCTTCATCAGTACAATACTTAAACATAATAGAAATATATACAGCAAACAGTGGAAGGTAATGAGTCCCTCAGCCCAGGAACAGGTGAGGACCACCGTGGTCTGTGACCTTGTATGTACACTCAGTGGGTTATTCTACCTTGTATGTACACTCAGTGGGTTATTCTACCTTGTATGTACACTCAGTGGGTTATTCTACCTTGTATGTACACTCAGTGGGTTATTGTACCTTGTATGTACACTCAGTGGGTTATTCTACCTTGTATGTACACTCAGTGGGTTATTCTACCTTGTATGTACACTCAGTGGGTTTATTCTACCTTGTATGTACACTCAGGGTTATTCTACCTTGTATGTACACTCAGTGGGTTATTCTACCTTGTATGTACACTCAGTGGGTTATTCTACCTTGTATGTACACTCAGTGGGTTATTCTACCTTGTATGTACACTCAGTGGGTTATTCTACTTTGTATGTACACTCAGTGGGTTATTCTACCTTGTATGTACACTCAGTGGGTTATTCTACCTTGTATGTACACTCAGTGGGTTATTCTACCTTGTATGTACACTCAGTGGGTTATTGTACCTTGTATATACACTCAGTGGGTTATTGTACCTTGTATGTACACTCAGTGGGTTATTGTACCTTGTATATACACTCAGTGGGTTATTCTACCTTGTATGTACACTCAGTGGGTTATTCTACCTTGTATGTACACTCAGTGGGTTATTCTACCTTGTATGTACACTCAGTGGGTTATTCTACATTGTATGTACACTCAGTGGGTTATTCTACCTTGTATGTACACTCAGTGGGTTATTCTACCTTGTATGTACACTCAGTGGGTTATTGTATCACTTATGTATATTTTATTAAGCAAATGTGATCATCGTCTTGGGATGATGATGATGATGATGATGATGATGATGATGATGATGATGATGATGATGATGATGATGATGATGATGATGATGATGATGATGATGATGATGATGATGGTTCATGAATTCCAAATTGAAGATTCAAATAACAGCAACTGTAGCTCCTGGCCCCTCTAGTACTGGTCTTCCAGTTTCTTCACGTGGAACATTTGATGCTCCTGAACTCAGTGGAATGCTCGATATTATCATCACTTTACTGAAGTCTCCCAGCTACTGAACTCAGTAGAATGCTCGATATCCTGTTCAGCCTGCTGAAGTCTCCCAGCTACTGAACTCAGTAGAATGCGTGATATCCTGTTCAGCCTGCTGAAGTCTCCCAGCTACTGAACTCAGTAGAATGCGTGATATCCTGTTCAACCTGCTGAAGTCTCCCAGCTACTGACTGACGTTTCATTAGCTGATGTATGAGACCCATCATGTGTGATGGAATATGAGAGGGGGAATACAGCTGCTGTTCCCACAGTGTAACTCTCACACACAGTGAAAAGTAACAACACAATGCTGGTGTACACACTTTTGTTTAATAAAGAATTACACGTACAACCCAGGGAGGTGAACAACACCCCCCTCCCCAGGGGAGGTGAACAACACCCCCCTCCCCAGGGGAGGTGAACATACTAGGTGCGTCAGGGGGAGGTGTAACCCAGGTGAAGGTGGCTCCCTCACTGCCTGTACACCGATAATCGATAGCATGATGCCTCCACCCCCACCTCACACCCTCACACTGCCTCTTAATGTGCCGCCCACACCCCACCCTCACACCTCCCCACCAACTGAACACACCCACCCCTCCACCCATAATCTAAAAGACGCCCACGACATCCCTCAACACTAACACCTCGCACTCCACCCCATACCCGTCCTGTGGGAGGAAGTCACCCCATACCCATCCTGTGGGAGATAATCAAACACAGACACATAACAGGTCCAAGAACCAGGCTCCCATCATTCTGTTAAGTTACAGTAATAATACTGAATCCTTTACAAGAATGATGAAGTCAGTAGGAAGGGTTTCAGTGACACACTGAATGCTGCAACGTAAGCATTAAGTCAATGATAATTTAGCAAGCTACACACACACACACACACACACACACACACACACACACACACACACACACATACACACAGGTCTATATAATCAGCATGATTGGTTACAGTACTTACCTAGAATGACCAAAATATCTACATCATTTTGCAAAATAACCACTGGGGGAAACTAAATTATAGCTCTAGGCCTTTCGTGCTGCAATTAACACAACATCAGGAGCTTGCAATGTTGCAGAAATAGAGCAGGAAATCCACCAAGATCAGTTCACGGGAGCGACTCTCTCCAGAATCTACACATTTCAGAACATTCGTCAGCTATTTCTAAATACCAGGATTTTTTTTATGACATTCCAGCCCCTAAAGATGCATGGTGTGAGGAGAATTCTACCGTTTCTCCTGATTAGGCCTACAACAGCTGGTGGTAAAACAAACTCCCCACAGAGTATGTCACTGGTGTCAGCTATGGTCTGTATAAGTTGTATCATGTACTTGTAGAAATAAAGATTATTATTATTATTATTGTTATTATTATTATTATTATTATTATTATTATTATTATTATTATTATTATTACTGAGGTACTTGTAGCCCAGTTAAGCAGTGACAGCCAGACAGAAGTCTGCTGATTCTGATGGATGCGTCATGGATGACTGGCTCTTCCTGCATGATGGTGTCAATCCTGCATGACGGAAGTGAGGATGAACTGACTGGTGTCAGTCCTGCATGACGGAAGTAAGGATGGACTGACAGGTGTCAGTCCTGCATGACGGAAGTAAGGATGGACTGACAGGTGTCAGTCCTGCATGACGGAAGTAAGGATGAACTGACTGGTGTTAGTCCTGCATGACAGAAGTAAGGATGGACTGACTGGTGTTAGTCCTGCATGACGGAAGTAAGGATGGACTGACTGGTGTTAGTCCTGCATGACGGAAGTAAGGATGGACTGACAGGTGTCAGTCCTGCATGACGGAAGTAAGGATGGACTGACTGGTGTTAGTCCTGCATGACAGAAGTAAGGATGGACTGACTGGTGTTAGTCCTGCATGACGGAAGTAAGGATGGACTGACTGGTGTCAGTCTTACTCTCCGATTTGTTGAGAAACATCAAATGGGACCCATTATTGTGTGTCAGCATTAGGGAAAACCAGTTTTGGTTTTTGTGGCCGTTTTGGTGCAGAAACACACCATTGGTGCAGCTGTTTGGTGGAGTAAAGCACCCAGTAGTGCTGGTGCAAGTGTTGGGCAGCAGCAGTTTTGGGTTTTGGGGGGGAAACATGGGGCCCCTGGCTTTTTGGGCTGCGGGCTGCTTTTGGTAGAAATCAGCGCCCCCCCTTATTTTTTTTGCAGTCGAAAATTTTTCCCCTTAATTCCCCAAGAAGGGGGGCCCCCGCCCCACCGGTGCCTGAGGAAAAAACAACAGTTTTTGGGGGCACCCCCAAATTTTTTGGGGGGCTCCCCCCTATTTCCACCCCCACCCCGAAACCCGCAGCCGGCACCCCCGGTGCGGGTTTAAACCCAAAGATCTCACTGACCAAACTTTTTCAAAAAAATAATAACTTTTCAACTTCGGGAATTTCAAATATTAAATAACTCAGGAATCTAAC